GCTACCAACCATTTTCGTAAGTTTTCTCATTTCCCGCAATGTTTTCCACCCATTCCTCCAGAAGATCCTCCACTTTTTCCCCAAAGTTTTGCCGTCGAGCGTGGGGGCTGGAAAAAAATACGGCCTCCAACGATCCAATGGGAGTCTCCAATGAGGTGGTCGTGTGAGGAAAAATCAGTTGTCAAAAAAATTTCTCGAGCGAAATATGGCCACTCCCCTCCCCGACGGATCACAGACGACCCCCTTTGGGAATCTCCACCGTACGACTGGCCCTTGTCGGAACGGACCAGTAGTATATGCCAATCAATCTTTTTCCTCCCTATTTCCAGGCAATGACCGATAGCGATGTTTCTGTGAAGTCTTCAATTTCATTCGACTCAAAAACGAGAATTTGGAACTCAAAAAAAATTGAGGAATGAAAAATTTGACTCAACTCAAAATTTCAAAGAATTTTACTGAAAAACGGGAAAAAACAAAAGTTGAGTTACTCAGTTTACAAGAGGAGGCTTGATTGGGGCCTAGAATAAGCCAAGCTCAGAATTTATCCATTACGCTGATGTGCTTTAACAACTGGCATTGAAAGCCGATGGCTAGGAGCCACTGCGGATGGGTTTGCCCCTCCTACAAGGCACTTTCGAAAATCGACGTGGCCTATAAGGGGGCTCTCTGTCTCCACCCCTACCGTAAGCCCTTAATAAACTATCTCTTTCGTTCTCAGGTCGGTCTACCAGCGAAATCCGGTGTTTCTGGAGTGATGATCGTCGTTGTTCCAAATTTGATGGGTATCGCCCTTTTCTCTCCACCTCTGGATAGGCTAGGCAATTCAGCACGTGGAGTTGCTTTTTGTCAGGTAAGCCCTCAGCTACCGGCAGTGTGGTGTTCGGCAAAGGCATTCTTTGTTCAGAAACTGATTGAATCGTTCAATTTCCACAATTATGACAGTCTGCTACATGCCGACTCGAAGAAACACGATCCTCGACGGAGGATTGGCAATCGCGACACGGAAATCGTCGTCTCCCTACTTTTTGCTGCCAAATACGGCGATTTTGATGTCGTGCGCAGGTTGGTGACGCTTTTCAACTGTAGTACTAAATTGTCAAGATGCCTGGACATTTGCGAAGGCTTATTTCAGTTGAATGCATAGATCTGGGCGCTGTTTATTGAGTGTGTGAGGGGGGGGGGGCATTTTGCACTTTAACGACTTCCATCGACGTGTCGACCCATCTAGACAGCCTCTTCGAGTTGACAGGTTTTACCATGATGGCTTGACGAGCTTGCTCCAGTTTCACAAGAGTTCACAGGTTTTAAAAGAGTGAGACTTGTAAGCAAAACTAGCGAAGCGACGGAAAGGCAAAATGCCCCCCACCCGTCGGCATACTGCGGCCATAGGTCTGTATTATGATGGCTGAAAAGAGGATAGAGGTGGTTTTCAATAAGGGCACTGTGTGCCTTGGAAGTAGCCGGTGTGCACTTCGTGTCAGCGCTCTAGCACCCTGCAACTCCCAAGGGGAGACGAGCGTGTACCACTAATCATTGGTAGAAAAATTGGAGCGTCCGAAGAAGCCCACCCATCCCAGGAGATCCCTTCCCTCAAAAATTGCATTTTACACCAGCACCATCCGATCACTGCAGACTGGTCCTTCCCGGGGCATATGTAGCGCCTCAGAACGTGATGTAGCTCGGGAGGTCCATGCGGTGATGCGAGGTTGTAAGTGATGTCACGTGCTTCGCAGGACCTGATTGTTTCAACCTTGAAGGCAGCAGTGTTCAACGGTTAACAGACATTCTCTATGGGTTTTTTTTCTGTATGTTACCGCAAGAAGGACTCCTGGATTATCTGGGGCCTTCTTCATAGTGGCAGCTCTGAATATAACGAATTTCAACCAAAATATCAGTTGCTAAGGAGTATTTCAAGTTGCCTGCTCTTATGACAGGTAGCATCCATGCCCTAGCCACTCTAGGCTACAAAAGCTGCAGTGTCCATTATCTGAGTGCCAACAATACCATGTTCATGTTGGCCTCCTCCAAAAAATGTTTCGTCCCCGGATCCCATGGTTTAGCTTGTCCTGATGGCTAGAATAGCATCTTCTGTAGAGTGCAGGAGTATGAGTCAGATAGAATCAGTCTTTACTCAGGCAAAGTTTGCGTCAGTGCAAAGGCCGCAGAACACTTCAATGTGACTACATCACGTCACGTCAGTACCAAAAAGTGCATTAGTTCGATTACTTTTTGGGGTCTGGGGTGAAAGAACACTATAGTGTCGCAATTCCATGGCGTAAGTCTCAAAAGAACAGCGCTATCTGGAGCGAGCCGGTGGGTGTGGTTTTATAACAAGGGCTCAAAATAGGGGTCCAAGGTATCTGTTGTTCGTTGTAACCAGGATAAGCTCAGAACTTTGGATATTCGGCAGGATCTCTCCTCTCTCAAGTATTCGCCCCCCTCCTGCACACTGTCCCAATTAAAACAATCTCCATCCGAAACAGCTTCGCTCACTTCCCATCAGCTTTCCAAATAGAGTACAGCGTCATGGAAAGTTTCCCATGGGGAGGTGGAAGCATCTAGCTGATCGCCAGGAAATCGTATTTAGTCCTGAGGAAAAATTTTCCATTTCACTCGCTCTATACACCAACCTGACCTGCTGAACGCTAGCTTTTCGGAAAAATGGGAAAAATGGTGAATTTATTGCAGAACTAGTAAAGATTTGGAGATTTGGTAATGTAGTGGGCGGATTGTGAGAGGGGTCGTACTGGGAGGGGGGGAGGGGAGCACTGACACCGCCATTTCACCCATCCCGATGTTTTATCCTGTTTCCAGGTAAAGTCAGCCATAGAGTGAGTGCGTGAAGCGATATGTAGTGCATCATTGACTAGATAAGAAACTCTGTATTTTGCGGATTCCCTCCTGCACCCTCTTGAAATAAAGCAGATCTCGCAGCAGGTGACGCACTCGTCAGTGACCTTACTACAGTTACTTGTCGGTTCTGAACGATGAGTCCTTAGCTCCATCACTTGGTCCCAATTCTCCACGAGATGTCCTTTGAATGCCCCTCACTAACGGACTTGCGCCCGATTTTCTTCACTTGTTCAACTTTTGACTTCAGCTTCTTCACGAGTTTTTGTTCAGGATGTATCTACAAGGTACTAACCTGGAAATGGCCGACTACGATGGACGGACAGCGTTGCACGTGGCTGCAGCCGAAGGACATATGCACCTTGTGAAATTCTTCGTCAACGTCGCTAAAGTGAATCATCAGCCACGAGACAGGTAACGGATAGCACAGATAAGGCATTACGTCACCAAGTACTCCTCATGACTCCGCTCACGTTCACCAAGCATTTGATTCCCATGCTGTGTGGCTGAGGAGAGACTTTATGGGAACAAAAAGCACATTAATTTACGGCGCTGTTCGGCGACGGGGATGTGGGAGGGGCATTTTGCACTTTTGCTTCTTACCCACGTCGCGAGCGTTCTAGACAGCCTCTTCTGGAACTGACCGGTTTTACCATGATGGCCTGACGACCTCGCTCCAGCTTCACAAGAGTTCACACTTTTTACCAGGGTGAGACTGGTAAAACCGAAATTACTGAAGCAACGAAAGTTTAATGCCCCCGTCGTTGAACTGCGCCTTAGTTTACTGTCCAATACCGTTAGAAATAAAAGATGTTGCTGGGCAGGCAACCTTTTTTACTATCATAGCTATCAGTCAGATGCCCCCCCCCCTACTCGTCTTGCAGTACAACACTGCCTGCGCCTTGCGCAATTCATTGTGTAGGACGGATACATTTCCATTCGCATCTACGATCCCGTACGGAAGTCGTCGAACTGGCACGTCCCAAATGGGCTATTTAAACCATACCTAAACCTCTTCATTCATTCCACTTTGATTTCGCATTTTTGTTAAATTCAGATGGTCTGGCAATTCCTTTGACAGTTTTTCAAATAATTATCCTACTGTTTTTGAAGCTGTTTATTATGATAGCCATGGCATAAAAGCCGTTAAGCTGAGAGGGTAAAAGCGGCCCTGGTGGCGTAATAGCGCACTCGCCCGGAAAGCGTGAGGTGCGGGTTCGACTCCCGCCTGGGGCACGACTTTTGCCCACAACTCAGCATTCTTGTGATAACATTACCCTACTGTCTTATTGGCTCCAGTGAGCTAAGACGGACAAAAGGCTAAAGTTTTGGCACCGATCCATTTCTTTGGAGATTAGCCGAGCATTCATGTGCCGTTCAGAAGTAAAGTGGCATTCCCAACGCGATTTCGCTTATGTAATGACAGGATTATCAGCCGATACTTAGCCGTCTTATTCCACCAGACGATTCCGGCACCATTTAGTCGACCTTGGATGAATCCCTGGATTCCGGGAAAGCGAAGCGGATCTGAGATTTGGCTCTCAGATCGCGCGCTTTAGTCTGCGGCTTCCTTTGCTGCTTCTGGGCTCCCGCCCATTTCAAGGCTTCCGACAAAAGCATGTTCACACATCTATCCATTATTTCGCGGGTGTCGGTCGGATGGCGTGGCTGGCAGCTGTCCTACCGTAACTGGGACGCTGCTGGACGCTAATTGACACCTCCCTGAGCCTGTTCAGCCGCTCCCTCGGACCGGAGAACTCGTCCACAAGCCACGCACCATACTGATTCGTAAAGCCACGCACCATACTGATTCGTATAATTGATCGACCTACAATGGTGAGACGTCTCCGTAAACGCCGAATTGCGTACTGATCGCTCAACTACGCATTCTCTTCCGTTTTTGAGCGGAGTTTCGACTTTTTTTTCGCCTACCAGCCATTACATAACTACAGCTATAAACGGCTATCGATTATTCAATGCATTTCTGTACAACTGCGGAGCTACTAAACCAGTGGTGAGTTTTTTTACAGTTGCTTAAAAGTTGATTTCTATACTGTTTGCTTACTGGAAGAGCATAGTTTCATGACCATTTTGGGATCATGACACATTCTTCTTCTCAGTTCGCTCACAGTTATTTTTCCTTGTTCACGATCATTGAAGAGTTCCCTAACACTGTTTTTTTTACACGTTTGCACAAAAAGTTACCAGAACAGCTTCACGATGCATTATTCCTCAATATGCTTTTCCCTGATACAATTTTCCTGGACTCAGTCCCTTACTCCATTTCTAAGTTGGTACTGACATTGTGACCCTGCTGACGAGCAACATTTCTCACTAATTACTGCCATAGGGGAGCGTGCGACGTCGCTGTCTCATTTGATATGCCCAAAGGAGACGCAAACACCCACCGTACCACCCTTATCCCAGAAAAACGCACCGCTCTGAGGCTCCGCTCAATTGGGAACCACACTTATGAATGCTAGTGCTGTATAAATGAATCGCGAGACGTCACGAAGAAAGAATGGAACGATTATTGTAGATATATGTCGAGATATGTGCCAGGAAAAACTATTTAAGCCAAATGTAATAAAATTTTTTTGAATAGTCTGCTGTTAATGTGTACAAAGGGGTAAAAAACACTTGTTAGGAACTCTTCGATGATCGTTAACAAGGAAAAATAACTGTGAGCGAACTTAGAAGAAGAATGTGTCATGATCCCAAAATGGTCATGAAACTATGCTCTTCCAGTAAGCAAACAGTATAGAAATCAAGTTTTAAGCAACTGCAAAAAAAAACTCACCAATGGTTTAGTAGCTCCGCACTTGTACAGAAAGGCAATGAATAAGCAATGGTCAATATACAATATTAGTAGTGTGGTTTCAAAATAGTTGGTAAGGCCAAAGAAGTCGAAAACCCGCTCAAAAACGGAAGAGAATGGGTGGTTGGGCGACCAGTACGCAATTTCTACGGAGGCGTCCTACTATTGTGGGTCGATCAATGATGCGAGTCAATTACGTAGCTGTGGACGAGTTCTCCGGTCCAAGAGAGCGGCTGCCCACGCTCAGGAGGTGTCAATTAGCGTCCAGCAGCGTCCCAGTTACGGTAGGACAGCTGGCGGCAGCCACGGCCATACACCGCTCCCATTATTTCCTCCTGGCACGAGGCTCGGTTATTGGTAGGGACGCCCTAGTTCCGCGAGCAGCAAATGATCGGGCTGGCTCTCGCAAGTCACAGTATGGAACGATCATGATTTTATTCGCCTATGTCCGAATGTAGTTCTGAGCGCTTCTTAATGAATTGGTCTACAGAAAAATACTGTCTTCTATCCCTTGTAGTCCTGATCTCAAGGCGGAGCTGGTAGTGTTAAGACGTCCGCTTGCCATAGTTCGAGGGTCTAATCAGGATCGGCTCCCTCCCAGCAACTATCTTTTCGAACATGCTATCTTCGCAGACGGTAAATATGCGCTACGCGCCGGCGCTTTATCCTTTTTATCGGCTGTGTAGTTGTGTTTCCAGAGATAGTAGCCATTTCCGCTCTGCGTTTCATTACGACTTTTACGTGCCATTTCGGGAGGTCGCAGTTGCGCAGGCTTCTTTTTGACTCAGCTTCTGCTCCCCGTGGGGGTCAATTCCAAGAGAGAATTTCCAAGTGAGAATACAATGCGTATCATAAATATAGACGCACCCCCAAAACTACCTTAGAAGTACTCCTAGGAGCTCATAGAAAGAAGGCTAGCTGTTATCAGGTTCAGCATCTTCGAAACCTTGTTTAACCGTTTTTTTATGCTAGCTGGAAGAAACTGGGAATTTTTTACCAATAAGCTTTTAATTACTTTTCAATTCAATGTGATTCCTTAGCCTCCCGAGATTTGTACAGATGTTTACTGTGCTGACGTATCGGCGAACATCGCCTGTTTCGGAGTCTTTTGACAGATAGGAGTTCTACCGGGCACTCTGATGCTTAATCAAAGCCGGTCCTGTGAAATTACTTTTTAATTAGGTTGACAATTAATTTTTAATTAGAATTTTACCTTTTTGGAGGTGTGTTTATACTTATGATACGCGCTGTATGTAGTGGTATAAAGGGGAGTATGTTGAACAATGTCATTACCCAATGTTTCCTCCTGAATTGACTGCTACACATATTTTCAGATGGGGACGAACTCCGCTCGACGACGCTCGCAGCTTCCATCATGAGGACGTTGTTCGGTTCCTTCTCAAACATCATGCACGTGGTCATAAAGTCGTTCTCCCAACGACGTTCCAGCCAGTGAAAATGGAGCCGAGTATGTCCGTAACTCCTCCGCTCTTTCCTATCGTAAGGCATTGAGAGTTTCAAAAATATTTAGCGACAAAACATCACTTCCTGCACAATATCCATTCAGTGAAAAATTCCATCGTATTCAGCACGAGCAAGCATCCTCTATGTGCGTGTTTTTCCTTTCTCTGAAAGCCACTACCGCTCTCGCTTTGTGACACGGCTTTTGTGATACGTTTGAGGCGACTATTGAGAAAACTCTCAGCTTTACCCGTCTGTGCCATGTGATTTTTTTCCGCCATTGGCTATTGATGGCCAAATTTTGAATAGCATTGGTTAATGTCATTTTTCATTGCAGGCTGACTAATCAAGCAGATGAGTCGTCAGGCGAAGATGAGCTAAGCAGTAGCACTGGAATGATGCTCATCAATGAAGATGAAGTCAAGGAAAAAGGTTGGTCTTGAAGTTTCTGCTCCTTCAGACGACGCCTTCGCAACCGTCTCTTAATTTTATTTTGGAAAAAATTGCGCCCAATTTTCGAAAAATTTGGCAGAGGTGGTTAATAGTGTCATTGCTGGAATTATTCCAATTACGATACCTTTTGACGCGGCACCAAAAAGGAGAT